ATTATTGATAATGTTGTTTAGTTTATTTGATAGGAATGTAAAATTATAATATTTAATTAAAGATGTCAAAGTCTTTTTTATGGTTCAAATATGATGAATTTTGGAGTCATCATCGATATACGATTGAAAATCTGTACAAATAATATGCATCTACGCTTGAATCATGGTTGGGTTTAAAAGTTCACTATCAGTAGGAATGTTGTAACACCTCACCACGTCCAAAACTTAATATCTTAAGAGATTTATATTGTCCCTAAAAAGAGATTACTATTGCTAAATGAAATGCAAATGTCAAATATAAAAAGATTGTGCAAACTCGAAAAATTATCCAAATCATTAATCAAATTCAATATGAGACCCAACTGAGATTATTTAAACAAATTAAAATTCAATTATAGATCAAATACGATTTAAGTATCAAATTGAATTAAAGTTTAAATTAAAAGGTTTAATTGCTTACCAATTTTATGAAGAGGGAAAAAGAGGTCTAATTAACAATTTAACCTAATTAGGACCAAAATAAACTTAATTAGGAAATTTAGGCTGATTTCAAAATTACTTAATTCACCCAAGTGACCAAATTGAACTAAATCATGAAAATAGGACCAAAATGAAGGGTGTTTAAAACTTATGTGGTAGCCACAGAGATTCACCACTGAAAATCCAAAACATGAGATAATTTTTGTTGGGTAAACTGCGCAAATGGTTACTAATGTTTGAGTAAGTTTTCGTTTTCACCACTGATGTTTCAAAAGTCACAAATCAGTCACTAATGTTATCGTTTGTTATAAATTGGTCACTCAATGTTAACAATTGTTAACAGGCGTGACAGAAAACACAGTTGACGCGTTAACTATTTACATTGATTGGGTTGATTGCGTTGACCACCACGTTTTTGAAACTTCAATGAGGAAAACGAAAACTTACTCAAACATTAGTGACCAACTGCATAATTTACCCTAATTAATAAAGAGGGGAATCTAAGGGTTTCATTTATCATTCTGAACCATTTTTTTCTTCCATAAACTCATCGCATCTTCCATAAACTAATCGCATCTTCCATAAACCCCTTTATTCTTCTTCCAAAAAACCATTTCTCATTCTTCAATTTGTTTGAGAGAAAAAGTAGAGAGAAAAATGATTTCTTCTTCTTCCCTTCGTCTAAGAGAAAAAGTAGTGAGAAAAATGAGCAAAAAAACCATCGTACTTACACGGAGGTTACGGCAAAGGGGGACAACGCTATGCTTTATAGTAAGCTTCTTTTGGGTTTGATAGGAAAAAAACAAAAAAAAAACCTTAGTTGGGCATCCACAGTTGCAAAGCGAAACATCAATGGAGTCTTCCATTTTCACATGATTTCTCTTCTCTTACAATTTTCAGATTTTTTTTAAATGGATATAGGAATGAAAAACCCTAAATTAAGTTTAGGGGTTGAGTTTTTTTAAAGGAGAAGAGGTGATCGTTGGAGGCTTTTGGGCCTCCAATGTGGCGGTCAACCCAGTCCATGTAAGCAGTTAACGCGCTAGCTGTGTTTTCCGTCATGCCTGTTAATGGCTGTTAACATAGAGTGACCTATTTGTAACAAACGATAACGTTAGTGACCGATTTGTGACTTTTGCAACATCAATAATGAAAACAAAAACTTACTCAAACATTAGTGACCATTTTCATAATTTACCCTTTTTATTCTCCATTGTTAAAATTAAAATTTTTACTACAATAAGTTTGAGTTTTTTCTCCTCATAAAATTATAAATCATTAATATGTTAGATATTAATAATAAAAAATAACTTTAATTACCTAAACTTATTTTATTATTATTATATATATAATTTGAAGTGAAGCACGAAAAAAAAGTGAGAATGATCCACATGAAAATAACTCATTATTGTAAGAGCAATGTTATCTAAAATGTAAAGAATTGTCAAATATTTAAGAATTTAAAAAGAATTATATTTCCACCATTTTAACAAAAAAAAGTGTTATTATCAGGTTACGAGAACGAGAACAACCGAACATGAGAATATAATTAAAAAAAAAAGATTATTCATCCCCTAAGGATAAACTACATCCATGATCACTTAACTATTGGAGGATTCTATTTTGACAATCGATTTTTTAATTTTGGCAATTAGATCTTTTAACTATTTAAATAATGTTAATTAAACTACTCATTGTTAATATTTGATAAAGAGATTGACGTGACAATTAACCAAATTAATATAATTACATATTTTATCTTTATTACTTATACATTTTATTTATTTGATCATAATTTTAATCCTCTTCGTTCTATTTTTGACTGATCATTTTTCTTGTGTTTTTAGTTTACCTTCTCTGCCCAACGGTTCTATTTTAAGCATCAGTGATTCGGCAGCCGACGATGTTATTAATAAATTATTATAGTTTTTTTAAGAAACCTAACATCAAAGGTCGATATGTCCGAGTGGTTAAGGAGACGGACTTAAAATCTGTTCGGCTACGCCCGCGCAGGTTCGATCTCTGCTGTCGACGTTTTAAACATCTCTGTTTGATTTGTGTATTTTTTTCCTTTCAATCTCTAGCTTCAAATATAACTCCTACTCCTACTCCTGCTCCTGCTCCTGCTCCTGCTCCTGCTCCTACCCCTATCATTGCTGCTCCTAACGGTCATTCTCTTCTCTCCAACGGCTCTGTTATAGGCAACGGTGATTCGGAATTTGATGGCCGCCATCATTTAGAAATGGGTTGAGTTGGAGGTAACGGCAACGGTGCTCTCACTGAGGCTCGCTTGAAATATAAGCTTCTCTTCACGCTGTGCTCATTGCCATTCCCAATTTTCAAAGAGGTTCTAAAAAACCTGATTTCATCGTTTAAATCAGTCAATCTCTGCGATCGTTAATTACGAATTATGGGTTTATTAAAGAAAATGCAAATTTGTTCTGTAGTTTTTCATTCGTATGGATGTTGTTTCGATTAGCTCAGGGAATTGTTTCTGCCATTCGTTTTTTTAATATCTTAGTAGGCAAAGCATTTGAAACAGGTTCACCTGCGAAGATTCCTCAAAATGGAGCAGAGATTGAGAAGTTGGAACACACCGAGCCTTGAATCACATAAAGGCATTTTGCAGTGTAATGCTCATAATTTAATAGTCTTTAGGTTATTATTTCATATTTACTTTGAACAGTAGTGTTTAATGTCTGGAAAAAGGAAGCTAATCTGGTTGTTATGTTTATAGGAGCTCGCAATCGAGAGCAAATACATCAAGCTGCTTCTATATCAACAGCGTGAGCTTGTGATGGACATATCTATTTGGCAGAGTCCATGTTCCGTGTAAGGTTAACACGATTATTTTGGTTGCTGAAAATTATTAACGATTAAAGTTATGTCGTGTTCTGGATGGAGCGGTTCACAAAATTTCTTCAAACGGCTCGGTGGGTGGCCTCATTAGGAATATGAATGGTGACTGGATCATTGGTTTCAATAAACATGTTGGAATTTCAACGCCTCTTCAAGCTGAACTTTGGGGAATTTTAGAAGGACTTCAATTGGCGCTTTCCCATAATATCAAACGCCTCCAATGCCAAACCGACAGTGTCGAAGCTCTTAAACTTTTCACTTCGTCAATGGCTAACTGCAGTCCAATAACTCTTGTTCGCTCTATTGCAAATCTCATCTCAAAGCAATGGAAAATTGAATTCATCCTCATTTGACATGAAACAAATGCTGCAGCAGACTTCCTTGCAAAAACTACCGCTGATACTAATGAACGAGCTCAGACCTACATAGTACCTCCTCAAGAGATTATACCTCTTCTTCAACGTGACCTCTATGGTCCTGTTTTCTCCGCATCTAGTATTTCTTTGTAATAGCATCCTCTACAATTCAAAAAAAAAAAGTTATGTCGTGTACCTTTGTTTAATTTAGATGGTGTTCATGTTCAATTCGTGTTCGTTTATTTATTTTTAGAGGTATTTGTATTCATTCATTTAACATTCATGAAAATTTCATTTAATTTTTATAAACACGTCATAATAATATTCGTTTAACATTTAATATTTACCAACCAACATCCTTTTCTTATCATTTTATTTGCAATTCAAAGAAAATGGTAAAATTACACCATTAGTCCTTAATTTTCTTATACTTTATAATTTGAACTCTAAAATTCATCTTATGTTCAATTTAATCTATATCTTCACCAATATTTAAAATATAAAAAAAATAAAAGGAAAAGACAGTTCCTTATACTTTATCGAATGTCAAGATTAATTCTATTTAGATTTTGTTCATCGACATTGATCTGCACTTTGTTTTGAGCTATTAGATTTTGAAGAGCTGAAACACGGTGTTAAAGACGTACTTATATCATTGTCGTCATAATGACAACACAACATAGATTTGCTGGGAACTTGCCAAAGTCGAACTTACATATTGGGCAGCTCATTTCTTATTTCTTAGAAGTAATCCTATTTTCCGTGTTGATTTTGTGGAAAAAGAAGCCAAAGAATTTGCCCTTTTCTCTTTTTTCGTAGTTGGGCCATAGAAAGCTTTCAGTTATAGCAAATTGATTACTCATGTTATTGATAATTTAAATTTAAGGCAATTGATTTTGACTTCTAAACTAATTAATACAAATTATAATATATAAGGAGTGAATGTAGATTGCATGAATTTTGACAAAAATTATGTGTATTTGAATTATAAATCTTTAATCCTTCAAATACAAATCTTATGTATATTTGGATGTTAATATTTGTTGTGATCTTCCCTCTTAATGGGGAAAAAACCCCCTTTTTTGCCGTGTTGGAACTGTCATGTTGACTAAGATGCTCAACAGAAGTCTTTTTTCTTTGTCTTCTACCTCTGATTCTGACAACTGAAACTTCATTGCTAATGCAAACCAAATAATCAACCCACGTGGTTAGTGAAGGCAAGAAATTCCACTCGGCATGTGGAAAGCGGCAAAATGCCAACTATAAATACTGATAGATACTGTTCATTGATGAAATAAAGAAGACATGGCTAGGCCTAGTCTTGTGACGGAGATTACCGGTTTCTATAGATGGTTCTTAATTATGCTTCTTTGCATTGATTGCCAAGGCTGCTTAGAAGTAGAAAGAGCTGCTCTTCTACAAATCAAAGATTCAATGAGCAGTCCAGCGGGGTCGGCTTTCTCAAACTGGTATGGAGAAGAATGTTGCGAGTGGGAGGGCGTTGAATGTGATCCAACTCGTACACGTATTCATAAGATCTTCTTTCACTACTTGAGGGAAGAAAGTGATGGTGTGGTTGAACCGTGGTACCCAAACGCTACCTTGTTTGCTCAGTTTGAGGAGTTGCGGGAACTTGAACTGCCAGGGAATCATATAGGAGGATTCGTTTCAACTGACGGTAAATATTCTAAACCTCTCAATTTATATCTCTATTCCTTGGAAGCATGGGAAGAGGGTATAGTATCTGTTTTTATTGATAGAAAGCATATTTTCATGATTAAATCACTGCAGCATTTAGAGAGCTGAAGCAACTTCAAAAGTTGGATCTCCATGACAATTCCATAAACAATGGCTCTAATCTCTGTTGGGGTAAATCTCCTTCTCTTTATTTCCTGGATTTGTCTAGCAACAACTTACAAGGCAATATTCCAGATTGTCTTTGCGACAACCTGTTTCTGAAAGAATTGATACTGTTTGATAACTATCTCTTTGGAAGCATCAATTTGCGATTGGGAAAGATGGTTTCTCTCCAGCATCTGGATCTCTCTGACAACAACTTCAATGGCTCTTTTCCTTCTTTGCCGATTAGCAACCTAACGAATATTGAGTCAATTGTTCTATCAAGAAATGAGTTCCACGGCATGATTTCGCTCTGCATTTTTGCCAATCTGTCGAGGCTGAGTGAACTTGATATTTCCTTCAACCACTTGATAGTTGAATCAGAGGTAGACTCTCCATCTTTCAGTCTAAATACTCTGCGGTTAAGTGGTTGTAACCTCAAGAACATTCCCGGCTTCCTCTCCAGACAAGAACGCCTTGATGTCCTAGATTTAACCTACAACTCACTCTTGGGAAACATTCCTTCATGGATGTTTTACAATATCAGTTCAGAATTATGGTTAAGAGGCAATAACTTCACTGGTCCCTTCCCCAAGAACATAAGCTCAAGGCTTACTCTTCTTGACATTTCTGACAATTTCTTGCATGGGACATTACCCAGAGCCTTGGGCTTGAATTTTCCACAGCTGAACCATTTAAATCTTTCCAAAAATAGCTTCAATGGAAACCTGCCCTTGTCCTTTGGTAACCAACTTCAGAAGCTAGATTTATCAGATAATCAGTTTCAAGGAGAAATTCCCCATAGCATGGCAAGCAATATGAGTTGTCTGATATATTTGAGGTTATCCGGAAACAACCTGACAGGAGCTTTGTTTCCCAAAAACTCAAGTTTACCCAAGTTAAAAGTACTAGACCTCAGAGGGAATCGCTTCGAAGGACAAATACCACGGGAAATTTGCCAAATGAGGGAATTGCATGTTTTAGATCTATCAAGAAATGGTCTTTCTGGTGACATTCCCGACTGTGTTGACAACATTACTTCCTGGAAGGATCCTGGCTACGATGCCTACCGTCCGTCTTACGACTGGAACATTATTGACTTCGTTTTAAAAGGAATAGATGTCTCTTCGAATAAACTAACAGGTAGAATTCCAATCCAAATGACACGATTGAGGGAGATTGTTGTACTAAACATGTCGAACAACCTTCTCACAGGTCAAATACCTTCATCCTTGGCAAACTTGACAAATCTAGAAGCCCTAGATCTTTCACACAACAATCTCTTCGGTGTATTACCCCCTGATTTAACTGATCTTGAATTTCTTGAAATTATTTATGTCCCTTTCAACAATCTATCAGGTATGATACCAACGGGACGCCAGTTTGATACATTTTCAAATGACAGTTACATAGGCAATCCCGGCCTTTGCGGACCTCCACTTTCAAACAAATGCAATGACAGTGCAGAAACACCACCGGTTTACGCTGGTGCGGACAAGTCTCCACTTTCAAACAAATGCAATGACAGTGCAGAAACACCACCGGTTTACGCTGGTGCGGACAAGTCAATTCTCAGTTATGTACTTTTGCTGTTTTGGTCTTTCTTTTTTATTATTATCTCTTTAGAATAAGATCGAAACATGTAAGTCTTAAGAACCTTGTATGGCCAACTCTTCATTCGAGAGGAAGGAAATGATGTCCTTTTTTTTACAAAATCTCCCACCGTTACAGTTCCATCGCAGCAATTTATTATAATATACCACCAACATATACACAAACAATTTAGTATTAATCATGTTTTATTAAATAATAATTAAGATTATATTTATATTAAAAATAAATTATTAAAAATATTTATATTACATATTTTAAAAGTTTAATAGTCAATTGAACCTATCAAGTGGTCTCAGTAATAAAAGGAAATGTTCTTTTTTTTTAGAAGTATTTTCAAAAAAGTTTAATAGAGAATTTAGCCGGTTCTTAATAATATTTTAAATAATAATTAATATTCTATTTTGATTCTTAATAATATTTTAGGGATTGTTATTTTCGTAGTATAATCATTTGACACACTTTGAGGATAATTTTTCACAAGTAATTTTAATCAATTACATTTGTCTTAATTTTTATTTAAATATTAATTAAAAATACATGATAATAAATTAAAGTTTTTTGAAAGAATTTTCTTATCGTTAATGCGTCAAATAGCTTAATAATTCCCAACTTCAATTTTGTTTTCTATTTCCGTCATTATTTTTCACTCTCTACATAATTTAATAATTCTTTTCATCCTAATTTATAAATAAGGATAATTTAATTAGTAGAACTTGTTAGGGATGGAAAAAAAATTGAATCCGTCGGGAAAAATCGAAAACCGAATTAAACGGGTCGGGTTCGGGGATGATAAACGGGGACGGAAAAAAACCGAATTTTTTAAACGGGGACGGGGACGAGGACAGGTTTGGTAATCCCCGCCCCGATTACCCGACCCGATACTCGGCCCAATAAATATTAAAAATAATTATTATATATATATAATATTAATAAATTTAATTTAAATTAAAAATATATATATTATTAGTCGTTGTCATTATATTTGTCTATTTGAATTGTTTTGGTTTTATATTTTGGATGCATTTGGTGGTGTTTGGCGTTTTAAGCAAGTTTAGATCCAATAATGACATTATTTTTTAAATAACTCGTGTCATCGTGTGAAATTTAAACGGTAACGGGGATCCCCGCGGTGAAAAATAACCATCTAAGGTAAACGGGGATACCCGTTTATGTTAAACGGGGATACCCGTTTCCTCGCGGTTTTCCCCGATTACCCGATAGGGATCCCCGTTTAAATCCCCGCGATTTTTTAAGCGGAGACGAATACAAATTTTTTAAACGGAGACGGGGACGGTGAGATCAATCCCCGGCCCGAAACCGTCCTGTTGCCATCCCTAGAACTTGTAATCAGTTTATCTTATATTATTTCAATTAAAAAATCTTTTTTACGGTCATGCACAAATACGACAAAACGACAAAGAAAGCTAATCGTGCAGGGAATATAAGGAAGACGCCTCGTCATCCTTGCGTTTTTCTTGAACATGTAAAAGACGTCATATACTTATCACGTGTTACTTTTGGTATCATTCAAATCACCTCATTTCAAAAAATAATTCTTAAAGTGCATTATATGGGAAAATATTTTTCACTATACCATGACCATCAGGATAATTTTATCTATATTATAATTATATACCGGCACAAATATAAATATAACTAAAGAGGTCTCAGTAATTTAAAAAAAATTACTTTGAACCAAACAGCTTTCATCAAAGGAAGGAGCATTATTGATAATTCCCTCCTTGCTCAGGAGATGGTCAAAGGCTATGGAAGAAAATCCATTTCCCCGAGATGCGCACTGAAGATTGACCTTCATAAAGCTTTCGACTCCATTCACTGGGGATTCATCATTCAAATACTTAAAGCTCTCAATCTCCCTCTTGCTTTCATTGCTTGGATCGAAGCATGTTTCACACAAGCAAGGTATTCCATTTCTTTTAATGGAACATTAATCGACTATTTTAAAGGAGCTAGAGGCGTAAGACAGGGAGACCCTCTATACCCTTATCTTTTTGTTCTTGCAATGAATATTTTATCCCGAATGCTTAATTTGGCTGCCGAAAGAGAAATGTTTGGTTTTCATCCAAAATGCAGGAAAATTGGTCTTACTCATCTCTCTTTTGCTGACGATTTACTTATCTTCTGCAAAGGCAATATTGACTCTGTTGTAGGTGCTCTTACTATTCTTGACAAATTCTATGAAGTCTCGGGGCTTAAACTGAATCCTGCCAAATGTGAAATCTTTGCTGCGGGGATTCCTTCAAGAACCATTGAGAACTTAAGAATTATTACGGGGTTTCAAATTGGAAGTCTTCCTATTCGTTATCTTGGTATTCCCCTGGTCACCCGCAAACTTTCTGAAAAGGACTGCCAAGCGTTAATTGACAAGATCAAGCTTAAACTTCATCACTGGTCAAGCCGAAATCTAAGTTATGCAGGCCGCTTAGAGCTCATTAGATCAGTCTTATTCAATGTCAGCAATTACTGGTGCAGACAACTAGTCCTGCCAACTTCTATTCTTAAAAAAATGGAACAACTTTGCTCTAGGTACTTCTGGAAAGGAGCAGATAAATCTGCTGCTAGTGCTCGTGTGCGTTGGGATAACATTTGTGTTTCCAAAGCAGAAGGTGGCCTCGGATTGAATAACATTAAAACTTGGAATAAAGCTTGTGTCATTACTCTAATCCGGAAAATCTTAGCAGGAACCGGTTCCCTGTGGGTTGCTTGGCTTAAGGCATATGTTTTTAAGGAGCAGGACTTTTGGCATTATAAAGCAACACCTAATTTGAGTTGGAGCACCAATAGAATCTTAAAATTAAGGGCTGAAGCTTTCCCAATCCTTTCTGTCGGTTCTCCACAAGTTAAGGAAATTTGGGACTTGATTCGAAGCAAAGGGCAGATTGTTACATGACATAAACTGATTTGGTTCCCAATGCATATTCCAAAAATCAGTTTGATTGCTTGGATGGCTCTTCTCAACAAATTGCCTACAAGAGACATACTTCTTAAAATGGGAATTAGCTCCGACACTATTTGCGTTAACTGCAGTAACTCTTACGAGTCAAGTGACCATCTTTTTTCACAATGTACAATGGCAGTGAAACTCTGGAATTCAATTCTGACCCTAAATGGGATGAAGACCACTTCCTTATCATGGAATGAAATGGTCATAAATGCTAGTTCATTATGGAAAGGGAGGTCCTTACTCACTACCATTTTGAAAATTTCCTGGACTGCTGTTATTTACTCCTTGTGGCAGGAAAGAAATCAGCGAATCTTTCAAGGACGGAGTAGAACGATCGACTGCTTGCTAAAGGAGGTTAAGGACGTTGTTGGAATCCGTCTTGGGGGAACTAATATTAATAGACTTGATAGTACTAACTTAAAGCTATGTAATGCTTGGGGTATAGCATAACCAATCATTTTGTATAGGCTGTTTCTTTTGGTTCTTCAATGTTGATTGGTTAATTGGTTGTGCTTAAACTCTGTTTCGGGTAATATAATCTGATTTATCCAAAAAATTTAAAAAAAAAATTCTTCTATAATTCGGACTGAAGTATAGATAATATAAAATGTTAAAAAAATATAAATAACATAATAATGATAAAAAATAAATTTATTTAAATAGAAGTGTAAATAGAAAACTAAATACTATAATTCAACAAATTAAATACTAAATTTGAGAACCAAAATGGGTTCTTTTGTTTAAGCCCAAAATCTAGCCCTAAAAATGAGCCATTTTTAAAACCCTAGATAGGTTAAATTGTTTCATTCGCTACTTCCTAGTTCACCATCCAGTCCGATACAGAGCACAGGTTATCTCTCTTCAGCTGCTACCATGGTATCCTTTCTTTCTCTTTTCTTTGTTTGGTTTTCTTTTATCTTTTGAGGATGTTTTGGATCTCATCTTTTTCTCCATTACAAGATGTTTCAGTCGAATAAGTTGTTAATCTTATGGTCATTATTGTATAAGAGCATTTATGTAGGAATGTAGAGTTTGGGATTTCTTTTTCTTCTGTATGTTCCATTTTCTAGAAATTTATGGTGAATTTATTTTTCCCTTCTGCCTTCGGTGTAATAAATTCAAGAAATTACCAGTGAAGTTGCAGAATTTATTATATTTTGATGAATCACCGATAGCTTTATTGGGATTTAAATTGCAGTTGCGGGTGCGTTTTCGGTTGTGATGTGTTTATGGTGATTGCAGTCATAACAGATGTTATTGTTGTCGGTACAGAAGGAGCTGAATTTTTTTATAAAAAAAAAATTAGAATAGTCAAACAATAGCGGGAATAGTGGCCCAATATTGTCGCAATTGGTCGCTACCCACTAAATTGCTGCTGCTATCTACCGCTACTGGTGTGATTCCACTTCACACTGCTATTTTCCACAATAGTAGTTTTGGATACCGCATAATGGCCGTTATTATGCTATTCGGCCGCTATCTAAATCCTATACTATGTGATGAATCTGAAATTGGCCATGAGTTGATGACTTTATCATAGGGTTTCTGTGAGAAATCCTAGTGTCAAACAAACTTTTACGAGATTGCAATTTGTAAATATTGGTTGTGGAAGAGCTATCTGTTGATGAAGTCTAACCTAGGTTTTCATTGCGGAAATGGTTGCTACATTTGCCCTTTTTTGTTCTTTTGAGCTTAGTTATGAATTGGTATTTCAGGTGAACGTACCTAAGACAAAGAAGACTTATTGCAAGAGCAAGGAGTGCAGGAAGCACACTTTGCACAAGGTTACACAGTATAAGAAGGGTAAGGATAGTTTGGCTGCTCAAGGGAAACGTCGTTACGATCGCAAACAATCAGGTTATGGTGGTCAGACCAAACCAGTGTTCCACAAGAAGGTAAATTTTCATTGCACCTATCCTTTATCCCTTGAATGGATATTTGATATGTATTGGAAAGTACTAGGCTGTAAGCAATTGTTTAGTTATCCATTTTGTCAAGCCCTTGACTGGATGTTAGATGTAAATTTTAAAGATCAATAATCTTGTGCTGCATATTCCGGTACTAGATTGTAAGAGATGGTTGGTTAACCATTTTGTCAATTCGATTATTGTCACTTTCTTGAGAGGCCAAGACTTTGATTGGATGTTAGATGTATATTTGAGAAGGTCAATATTCCCATACTAGGTTGTAAGGGATGTTATTCCTTTTGTCAATTCAGTTGTTGCCATTTTCTCAAGTGTTTCCAGGCCTTTACAATATATATGACTGTGTATCCTCTGAACAGGCAAAGACCACCAAGAAGATTGTGCTGAGGCTTCAATGCCAGGGTTGCAAGCATGTCTCACAGCATCCGATCAAGGTTGGTGCATTGAAAGCTCTGTTGTTTAATGAGCTAACTTTTGGTTGTTTTTTTATACTGTTTTTTTTTGCTTCCATTAACCATGTTTAATGGACTAACTTGTGATTGTATTTTTGGATGCTGGGTTTGTGCAGAGGTGCAAGCACTTTGAGATTGGTGGAGATAAGAAGGGGAAGGGAACATCTCTTTTCTAAATGTTTCGTTATGGGTTTTACTTTGGAATTTTGTTAAGTTTGCTTTTCTTTTAAGGTTAATTACATTGGTTGCACTCATTGTTGGCAGTTGTTTCACTACTTCTGATGTTGAAATTGATTGTTGTCTATTGAAAAGATCGAAATCAGTAAGATAATGGAAACTGAGATTAAAAAGAAAGGAATGTTTACAAAAAGATTATTTTGAACTGAATCAACCGTTGAAATTATTATTTAATTATTAAAAAATTATTTAAGTTTTATTAAAAAAATATGTGAAATTACATGAATGTTATACTATTCTTCGAGGTAACTGTTGGGATGTTTATACAGAGCGTGGCTAGTTGTAAATTCTTTCTTTGTACACTTGAATAAGCTTTAACCTATTAGAATTCTTTGATATTTTATTTTGTGCATTAATAAATTCTTAATTGCTTGATTTAACGAAAGAAATCTTGTGTCGTTAATTTATTTTATAATTTTATCAACTCAATTAACATCATTTGACTATGTAAATTAAATAAATAGATTAAATTACTTATTATATATGAGCAAAATGTTTCAAACTTGAATCTCAATCTATGCCATGAATTGGCAAATTACTTTCATCTTGGGATATGTTTTTCCACATCAAAAGTAGTCTCTCTAATGTTCGGATCGTCGAATGGAAACCCGATCTTCAAAAAGCTCAAGACTCGAAATGAATTCTTTTTTAGTTTTCTTTTTCGATTAATTGAGTGATTTGTTTGTGATTTTTTAAAATTGAATAACCTAATTATAATTTTACTTAATGATTGAATAACCTATTTATAATCTTACAAATAATTGTATGACTTGTGAAGTAATTTACTTAATAAATAACCATTAAAATTTATTGTCCAACGTAACACCCATTTTATTTTGAGAAAATCGCCTCAGTGACCAAAAAAAAGTTATAATATACGATTTTAACCAACTTTTTTTGGATTTGCCAAAATGACCAACAAATTCGCAACGCGAAATAAAAATCGCAACGCGATCCCCAGAATCGCAAATCAGTTTCCAAAATCGCAACGCGATTCTTGAAAATCGCGATGCGATAGTACAAATTCGCATTGCGATTTTCCATAATCGCAACGCGAATATGAAAATCGCAACGCGAACACATAAATCGCAACGCGTATCCGTAAATCGCAACGTGTATCCGTAAATCGCAACGCGTATGGGTAAATCGCAATGCATATCCGTATATCGCAACGCGTATCCGTAAATCGCAACGCGTATCCGTAAACCGCAACGTGTATCCGTAAATCGCAACGCGTATCCGTAAATCGCAATGCGTATCCGTAAATCGCAACGCGTATCCGTAAATCGCAACGATAATCCGTAAATCGCAACGCGTATCCGTAAATCGCAACGATAATCCGTAAATCGCAACGAGAATCTGTAAATCGCAACGATAATCCGTAAATCGCAACGAGAATCTGTAAATCACAACACTGAAATTTTGGGTATATAACACTGAAATCATAAACTAAATCCCTAAATCGCAACTCATTCCATCTCCATCTATCACTCTCTCCGGCGACATCCGTTCCTATATCCAACGACATCCTTCCCAATCCGGCAACAGGTTTTAGTTTCGCAGCTCGTCTGTTTAGTAAATTAATTTACAACCATGAAATCATCTAATGTTGATCATGTTTGGATAGATTTGTGTTTTGGAGGGTCATGGGATAATGTTCATGGTGTTTTACAATATATGCCTTTACCCATGAATCTTCAACTAAAATTGTCTTTACAAAAGTTAACTTATGAAACTCTAATGCTACGTGTTTCAAATAAATTGAATTTAGAGCCCCTAAGTGGATTTAGGCTATCTTATCAGAGAAATGGTAAAGTTTATTTGTTAACCGACAATGAAGATGTTGAACGATTCATTGCTTACATTAGTGTTTCACAAGATGATGTTACATTGTATGTTGTTGAACCTAGAAGTAGTATTGTTGGGTCAGTAGCGGGTAGTAATCAACTAAGTTTTTCTCAAAACCCACAACCTTTCTCTAATCCAAATCCCAATCAACTTTCAGCACCAAATTCCGGTTTTCGTATTGACCAGTTAGACGATGATGAGCCAACAGAAAAAATTGTGAGTACTAGTCAGTATTCGAAATTTGGTCTTGGTCAATATCCGGACTTTGATATTGGTCAATACACGGATTTTGATGATGTTTCAGAAGAAGAAACAGACCATGCGTGTAATGATATTGCTATTGGTCAATACCCGAATTTTGATGATGAAACAGCCGTTGCCGAAGAATGTAATGTTGATGATAATGAGGAGGAAGTTACGACTGTGAATGAACATGTTGAACATCCATTCTGTAATTCATATAATCCTGAAGAAGAAAAAGAAGAAGAAAAAGTCCCCGAAGAAAAGAAAATGCCACGGGCGTATAACTGGAATATGCCAGAATTACTTCAGATACCGGAAGAAGAGTTGATAAAGAAAGCAGTTGATTGTTACACAAAAGTTATTCGTATCAAGAAAGATGATTGTTTTGATACAAAGGAAGACTTGAAGATAGCTTTATATACGAAATGTGTGGAAGATGGCTATCAACTAAAAGTTAACAAATCAAGCAAAGATCGTTTCGAAACAAGGTGTATGATTGACAAAAACTGTACGTGGCGTATGATTGCAAAGAGAATAAAAGATTGCAAAATGTTTCAAGTTAGGACTTTTATTGATAAACATACATGTTCAAGAACCCAAGTTTTTCCTCACCATAGACAGGCAAACAAAAAGGTGTTGGGTGGTTTTCTGGCTGAGTTAATGTTTTTGAATGGCAGGGTATATCGGGGACATGAAATTATGACTGACATGAATGCTCGGTTAAAGATTAGTATCATATTCTCAAGCTTGGAGAGCCAAATGTTATGCCTTGGAATTGTTGAGGGGGTCGCCAGAAGCATCGTTTGCCCAACTGCCGGCTTATTGTCACAATTTAAAGCTGAAAAATCCTGGGTCGGTAACTCATATCAAAACAGATAGAGATGGACGCTTTGAGTTGCTGTTTATCGCCATTGGTGCTACGGTTAGTAAATCAATATAATTTTGTTGACTCATTTTTGTTAGTTACATGCATTTCACATTTAAATGATTATATTTCTTGTGTATATTATTTTGTAGATTCGTTCGTTTATTACTTGCATGCGCCCAGTTATTATAGTTGACGGAGCACATTTGAAAGGTCGATACCTTGGAGTAAACTTATTAGCAGTAGCCATGGATGCTAACAATGGGATATTGCCAATAGCTTACGGGGTTGGCAAATCTGAAACCTCTGATTCATGGACATGGTTTATGGGGCATCTTAGGGATTGCATAGGTCCTATTAGCAATCTGACAATCATATCCGATAGGGCAAACTCAATTGACAACGCTGTTAGAAGGTGTTTCCCAGATGCTTTTCATGGACTTTGTGGTGTTCATTTGTATAGAAATCTAAAATCAAGGTCTGCTGGTATAAAAAAGCACAAATGGACATACTGGAAGGCTGTAAAAGCTTATCGGGAAGTGGATTTCAATAAGCATATAAATTGTTTAAGACGTGTTTTGCCTCAGTGTGCTCAAACACTAGAAGATGTCGGGTTTGAAAGATGGTCAAGAGTACATCAACTTGGAGCAAGATATGGTTTCATGACGTCTAATAGTGCAGAATCAATCAACGCTCTAAGTCGTCATTCCCGGAAATTACCCATTACTATGTTAATGGAGTTTTTTCGAGCCTCTATTCAACAGTGGTACTACAAGAAAAGAAACCATGCAGGTATTATTTCTTTGAATTCGTAACTTATCATATTTATATATTTTACTAAGTATTGTTTATTTAAATTTACAGGAACATTGGAACATCGTGTTACACCATGGACTGAAAAAAAGATAACGAAACGTGTTGTGAAGTCAACGTCATGGAGAGTTGAACCATGTTCAAACACTTTGTTTCAAGTACTGGATAATAACTTAAATGGGCTAGTCGATCTAAATGCAAAGACGTGTAGTTGTATGAAATGGCAAACATCTGGTTATCCGTGTGGCCATGTTATAAAAGTTGCTCTTCATTTAAACCAAGATGATTCAAGCGCATACGCTATGGATTGCTACACTACAGAAGTTTATCGACAGACTTATGCCGAGATTGTCTACCCTATTCCACATCCTTCTGAGTGGGACATACCAGATGACTTACAAACAGTTTTGCCACCAGCCATGGACAGAAGGCTACCTGGCCGACCAAAAAGTCACGATCGTATACCGTCTAAGGGTGAAGAGAAGAAGAGATCGACATGTAGTCGGTGCAAGGAAAGTGGTCATACAAGGTTGACATGTGGATCACCAGTGCCATCAAAATCATCTTTTCCTCTACCAAAATATGGATCCTCATCAAAATCCAAAGCTCATATGGTGTCAAGCAAAAGGCAATCATCTTTAAAATCCCAATCACGATTGGCTTCACCTTTTGAGACTGTTAACTTAGGTGATTTTTAAATGCAAACGTTGTATTATGTGGATTTTATGTGTGAACTTTTAACATTTTCAGTTGAATTAATGACTCAGGCCAACCATTTTGACTTAACCAACTCTTGTTATTCAGTTGTTATCACTATTAGGCATGCATTTGACTATCGCAACACGGAAAATACAATCGCAACGCGAAATGAAAATCCCAACATGAAAATCGCAATGCGGAAATGAAAATCGCAACGAGAGAATCGCAATGCGAAATGAAAATCGCAATGCGAAATGAAAATCGCAACGAGAGAATCGCAATGCGAAATGAAAATCGCAATGCGAAATGAAAATCGCAACGACAGAATCGCAATGCGAAATTAAAATCGCAATGCGAAATGAAAATCGCAACGAAAGAATCGCAATGCGAAATGAAAATCGCAACGAAAGAATCGCAATGCGAAATGAAAATCGCAATGCGAAATGAAAATCGCAACGAGATAATCGCAATGCGAAATTATAAACGCATTGCGATTTTCATTTCCGCATTGCGATTTTCATTTCGCATTGCGATTCTCTCGTTGCGATTTTCATTTCGCATTGCGATTTTCATTTCGCATTGCGATAGTCATTTTTGCCTTCAACA